TGCTGCTTGAAGAATTTACTGTACGGTCAAATAAAAAAAAAATTGCATTGCTTAAATAGACACAAAAACGAACAGAACACAAGAACAAAGCAATTGGCATCGATTGCTTTTAATTTTGGTTTTATTCGTAAACGGCAATGCGACAAGTGGGCGATCTGCCGAGGGAGAATGCCTCTCGAGAGATCTTTCATGGAAAAATGTCCGCTATTTAGGTGTTACTAACGTGAAGAAAATCTGGAAAACTCCATGTATCCAGCCCGTTGGCCAGGCACGAACTCACAACCAACTATCAGTGTTCAGTGATTTTATCCACTTAGTCACTGGTGGGTATTGGCATCGGTTCACTGGTGGGTATTGGCATCGGTTGCTTTTGTTCTTGGATCACCTCTCCGTATCCGTAAATGCAAGGATCGGCTCTGTGTGCCCGTCCAGTGCAAGGATCGCCTCTCCCGTGACTGGCAAATGCAAAGGTAACCTCTTTTGTGGCGGCAAGTACAAAGTTTGCCTGTCCACCACCATCAGGTATAAGGATCGCTTCTTTCTTTCCGGCTCCGCCTCAATTCTATCGCCATACGACAAAGTCGCGCGATGTCCTAGTTGTAGAACTACTTAATGAAAATTAACATGTAAGATTTCTATAAAAAATTTAAATAACAACAATTATTTATTGTGACATCGTCACAATTCCAGGCTGCAATTTTTAATCATATTCTTAATTTATTCAATTAAAAATGTATGTTCTCCATCTCAAATTTGTAGTGTCTTGCCCTGTACAGTACATCACACTTTTCCTGATAACAGTCATGCCAGTCACCTATGTAACTCCAATCAGGGGAAAATTTTTGAATTCACCTGTCCAGACCGGAAGTTCGTATGTAGTTGGAAGTTAATTGTGAACTTCTGTCCCTAAGCTTTCTGTATCTGGTTTCGACTTTCATTTATCTAACACTGTTCTCGAGATAAAGTAAACACAGATAGACAATGGTGGACAGTGGAAATTTATGGGTTTACAATTTTTTCAAACTGCAGCCCAATAATGTTGTTTATCTATGAACAATTCTGTTTGATTCAAAAATTTTCTTCTTTATAAATTTAATCTGTATGATTTATTTATAAATATTAAGCAATGCCCAGTCAACAATTTTGAATGAGCTAAAAAAACTTTCCACTAAATTATGATTTCAAATATTTAATTCATTTTATTATAAAAAAAAGTATCGAACAGTATAAAGAAACTTATTTAAATAATATAAACAAACAGAAAATTCTAAAATCTAATTGTTAGTTGTTCCAAAATCTATATAGATTGGTTCTATCCCTCATTAACATAGATAAAATTTAAATTTTAATCAAGTAAAAGTTTTTTAATAGTTAACAGAATATACACATAAGAATTCAAACAGAATTAGTAAATTGTTTTAAATTATATTAAATTTTTATATTCTTAAGTAAATAATACAATATATAATGCAGATTCAGAAAATAAAAAGAAATTATGCAAAAAAAGTATTTGTTTTAAATAAATATTTTTTGTTATGTAAATTTTTAAAAAATCTTAATACAATTAGAACATACCACTACAGTATAAACAATGTTTTCTATAAAATTATCTTATATAATAAATAGAGATGATTTTATTTTTTACAATATATATAAACACTCTACTGTAAGGTCAATGTGGGTAAATATGAGACATTTTTCAAAACTTTTGTAACAGCATTTGTTAGGATCAATATTTTACAAAGAGAAATACATATACATAACAAGGTCTACAGATGGTGTTAAAATCTATTACAATACCACTATTTTATATTATTACTAATAGTAAATACATATGGTATAGGCCTAAATTAAACGTTTAAAAAGTAAAAAGATATATAAAGTCACTTTAATCCAAAAACTTTTTGGTTGACATTCTCACAGCACTTCCGGTTAGAAAATTAAGACTTTATTGCACAAATTGAACAGGTGTTATACAAATGCATTTTGGGTTGTTGTAAATTTGCAACCCCTCTTCAGTGCTGTTAAAAAAAAACAACGGTACAGTTAGGAACCCGACATTACTTATATATTGTATAAAAAATTTTTTACAAACAAAGACTTACATGTTTCATAGGAAATAACATAAAGTTTTCCACTTTTACATCTTTGTTTTCCATAAATATATATAAAACATTCTATATATTGCATAAAACATAATTTATAACAACATAAAAACAAAAATTCATGACTTTAGATCTTACTTTATTTTAAATTTACATAATACTGGATAAATTTAAAATATAGTAAGACCTAGTCATGAATTTTTATGTTTTTATGTTATTATAAATTATGTTTTATGCAATATATAGAATGTTTTATATATATTTATGGAAAACTAGGATGTGAAAGTGGAAAACTTTATGTTATTTCCTATGAAACATGTAAGTCTTTGTTTGTAAAAAATTTTTTATACAATATATAAGTAATGTTACTAACTGTGCTGTTGTTTTTTTAACAGCACTGAAGAGGGGTTGTAAATTTACAACAACCCAAAATGCATTTGTATAACACTCGTTCAATTTGTGCAATAAAGTCTTAATTTTTCAACAGGAAGTGCTGTGAGACTGTCAACCAAAAAGTTTTTGGATTAAAGTGACTTCATATATAT